ACCGTGTCCTTGAATTTTCTTCCAGACCTAATCTAAAATAAATTAATTTTGTTTACTTAGTCCACAATATAAAACATCAAAAGTTTTATGGCAAACTAACCAAAAAGCAACAATGAAATACTTTTATCCTGTGTGGGTTTTTTTTTTTAAAAGTTGTAAAATCAGTAATGAGGGGAAAAAGGAAAAAACTCATCTCTTGCTAAGTTGTATGAATATGCCATTTGCAAACAGAACCAGTTTTTTTTAACTAAATTTGAATTTTAATCAACCTGTCAAGTTTATTTTAAATGAACTTAAGTATTAAGAAGTCCAAGTAGAAGGTTTTATTTCACATAATATATGATTTGTAGTAATTTCCTAGAGTCAATATTTAAAAGGGTCCATAAAAAAAGTTCCTGGATTTTCTTATCCTAAAACTTCATTTAAGGCTTTGTTCCTCAAGTTTTTCAATGTTTAAAGTACAACATGATGTATTGTGCTTTGGTGTTAACTGTAAGAACTAATACAAGATTTTGGTTTTTGATATTGAGTATTCACAACCAAACATGTACACACATGTAAGCACTAAAAATACGTGAATGAAAATATGTTCCTACCCTCATAGAGCACACAATTTAAGTGTGGAAGTGATATAAACACGTACAAAAATAAACTGTAACACAACAATGAAAAAATAAGGTAGCACAAAGGAGATAACCAGATAGAGTCAAGGAAGGTTCCACAGTGATAACCAAATTACTTTTGATGAAAGATAGGTATTTGACAGTAAAACTTAAAAGAGATTATTTCATAATATGAATCTAAAGTGAGAGAAGGTAGTACAGTGGTTCTCTAAAGCCAGGGTCAGGGACTGCAGACTGGGAATTTATGCAAAGGAACCAGTAAAGTGATTAAAATATTCTTGATCATTTGCTAGTGACAGTTACCTAAGTATATATATTTCTTAAAACATGAAACTGTACACTTCATAAGTGTGCATTTTACTGTATGTAATTTATATTTCAATAAAGTTAAGTTTAAAAAAGGACTGTTGTTGTTGTTATGGGCCGTCGAGTCGGACCTGACTCATAGCGACCCCTTCTTGGGTTTCCAAGGCAGTATCACTACAGAAGTAGATTGCCCCATCTTCCTTCCGGGGAGTGGCTGGCAAGCCTTCTGGTTAGCAGTCAAGTGCCTTAGCCACTATGCTACCAGAGATCCCTTAAAAAAAAAGAACTAGGGAAAACCAAATGGGCTATTCTGAGTTTTGCAATCACTCTTTTATATTCCAATAATCACAAAGTAGTTATCAATGTTCTATGAGGAGGGAAATGTTTTCTCTAAATGAACAGTTTAAAGCTACAGCACGGTTTCTTATTTTAGGCCACTCTTAAAGATGTAATGGGCCAAAAATGTAGAGCTTGGTAGTTCCATCAGAACAAACTATTTCTAAGGTTATATTGTCATGTTACAAATAGTATTTTCATAATACCAATTTTCACTTACAATGTAATTACTGAATGTGTGGCCAAGAAAATACCAGATGAGGAACTGAGGAGTTATTTTTTACTAGCTTTGTGATTCTCAGCAAATTAATTCACATCTCTAGATTATTTCAGCTCTAAAATAACAAGGTCAGTTTCTCTTTTTTCTTTCATTTTTAATATTCAATTATTCTTACAAGGTTGAAATCATTATATAGAGTCTCCAAATGAAACCCTATAAGTCCTCAATTCTGAAAGTGATACACTAAAACAAGTTTTATTGAGTTCAGTGACTATCATGAGTGTTTTTTGCAAATTTTGAGATTATTGATTTGAGGTTCTTGGTCAAATTTATGTATTTTCTGAATAATATTGTGCATTTATCTATTATTTCTTACAGCTAATCATTTACACATGTGCATCCAAAATTTCTGCTGTGCTAAATGCTAATCCATATATATATACTCTCTTTGCAGATGAAGAAATTGAGGGTCATAGAGATTAAATATCTTCCTCAAAACATCATTTCTAAAAGGACAAAATCAAATCAAATAGAATGTTTATTTATAAAACTTTTTATGGTTCCATGAGAAGTAGGTAAAAAGGAAACTTCAGCAGTTTATAGATGAATCCACTGATCTTCAGAAGGCAGGTGTGGTGAATTGCTTGATGTGGCACTTCTAGCCATTGTCCTCCATTCTGTGATGTATTGTAAATCCTATTATCCATGCCTGTTTGGGGTGGTGTGGTAGTTAAGGTCGGGTGTCAACTTGGATGGGCAGCTGGTAGTAGTCTTTCCCTATAATGACTGGCAGTAGGCTCTGTGGTGGGATTTGCCTTGAGCTGCTGATTGTTAAAGCCATCCACTTGGGTTATTTCTGTTGGAGCAACACAGGTGGAATGTATCTTGAGTCCTGCCTTGCTGGAGGGTTAATTCAAATCACCACCCTTAGCTTCTTTGAGGGTATATCTACGAATCTCCTGGGAAAGTTCGCCCTCTTCTTGCTCCAGTTCTGTGTTTTGGCTCATCCTCATCTCACCCCTGGATTTGGGACAGCAGCTGTCGTCTGATCTGCCGATCGAGGTTCATCAAACCCCGAGAATTGGAAGGATCCTCCAGACCTACTCATGGACCTGGGACTCGGCAGACTGCCAGCCTCCACCACTACTACATAAGACAAACCCTTGGGTGTCTGTGAGTTCTGTGAGGCATTATAGCGATATACAGAACCCTAAGACGGGAGAGATTACTGGGAGGAGGAGGAGGAGGAGTTAATGTCTGAAATGATGGAGAGGTATGGTAGTTTAGACATTTGGGACATCTTTAACCTCTGTCTCATGGGGACTGGCCTTGTGCTGATCTTTCTGAGAGAAACTGTTCAGCTTTCTTCCTGCAAACAATTCAAGCTGAATACCTTCCCAGATGTTATGATGCTACAATTTCTACAAAACATAATTGAATTAGGAAATTTGATAAAGAGGAAAGGTCTCATTATCCATGGGAAAAATATACTTCCTGCTCAGAATCTAACATACTGCTGTGAAAACACTAGAAACAGCACTGAATGGAGTGGTGTTATCTATGTGCATTAACAAAATTTAGAGACTTCCTTTAATTAAGTGTTAGAACGATTCAAGGTTGGGCATTGAGCAGTTTACTATAATATGAGATTTGAGATTAACGCCTCTGAAGAGTAAGATCAGCTTTGTTCACAAGGAAACAAATATAATACTAAAGTGGGGTGGTGCTGTTCAAGTAGATAAAGCCATCAGATTATTAAGGGGTGCCCTCAAACTAGATTCAAAAAGCCTTAAACATAGAAATGGTCAAAGGGATCTTGGAGTCTTCAGATTAAGTTACATCTCTGTAAGAGGTCCTCCAATGGCTGTAGCAATTTATCATGGGACCACTATAAGTAATTAAAGCTTTGAAAAAAATCTGCTACCTGTAGGCAAATACCTAATGTTTGAAGGAGGCATGAAAAACTAAACTAGATGTTTTAAGAACAAATAGGGATGAGTCTACAAATATAAGGATATTAGTAGGAAAAGAAAATTTAATAAATGTTTTTAAAATGTGACATAATATAAGGAAAGCTTCAAAGACTAATGGATACATAGAAGAATGTTGTTGTTGTTATGTGCCGTTGAGTCAGCCCCGACTCATAGCGACCCCTCCTTGGGTTTCCGAGGCAGTATCACTACGGAAGTAGGATTGCCCAACCTTCCTTCCGAGAAGTGGCTGATGGGTTTGAACCCGCCAGCCTTCTGGTTAGCAGTCAAGTGCTTTAGTCACTATGCTACCAGAGCTCCTACACAGAAGAACAGTAATACTAAAATTACTACTGCAGGTATAAGAAAGTTATGCTTGATAATTTAAGTGTGCATCACTAGGACCGCTAAACAAACTATGATTCTTAATGTATGAGAAATTACATGTAGGCATTAAGAATAAGGTACATATTTATATGTACATGCTGATATGAAAAGTTCACCAAGTATGTGGAAGAAAGCAAGGCTGTGAACAATGTATCTGAATTTTTTATGCAAAAAGTTTCAGAAAGAATGTATACATGAATGCACAGATATTGGTACAAATGTAATACTTTTTGGGAAGGATATAAAAGAAAAAGTTAATAATGTTACCTTTAGGGAGAGGGTCTAGGATGAAAACTTGTGTTTCCATTTTTACTTTCTGCACTACTGAAAATGAGCATTTGTGAATTCTACTGTTTAAAAATTATGCCCTTAGTTTTAGATTATGGGTCATTTTTTCCCCCTTTATATTTTCTGTACTAAAAAAAAGAAAGAACAGGAATGTTTGGTTTTGAAATTTTTCTCTCCCCACCCCCGAAAAAAAAACAGTACTCCTGGTAGTTTAGGTGTTAATTCAGTTGCTTAGAGCACCAAGAACAAAGGTCAAGGTTTTGATTAATTACATTTGAAAGAGTAAAAATATCCCTTGGTACAGAATGCATTTTTAACTTTAAGTCATCTGGCAAACTCATGCTGTTGATCACAAGAATGAAATAAGGTAAGAGCATGTGGTTGACTCAATACAAAATAATACTGGAAAATAACTCTAAGTAATGTCTTATTGACAGAGCGTAAGAAAGTAGACAGCAGAGTTATTCATCTCTAAGTAAATGTTTCAATTTTCATATCCATCAACTCCCTGCACTTCTGAACAGGATATAAACAAGATCTTACCTATAAGAGAAACTACAGTGAGTACTTGTAGAGAGCTATACATGTCACAAAACTTACTATTTTCTAAAAATGATACATTTCTTAATAACCAAAAACAAACCCAAATTCACTGCCATCAAGTCGATTCTGACTCATAGCAACCCCCATTGCGTTTCCAAGCTTTTAAGTCTTTATGGAAGCAGACTGTCCCATCTTCCTTCTGTGGAGAGGCTGGTGGGTTTGAACCGCTGACCTTCTGGTTAGCAGCCAAATGCTTTATCTACTACACCACCAGAACACCTTACATTTCTTTATAGAAAGATATAAACATCACATAAAGTACTATACCTGTAACATCTTCTGGATCTGATACAACAATATGTGCATTTAATTCCTGTAGTTTGTGATGCAGTTCTTCTAATTTTTTATTAGATTTTTTCAAAATGTTGTCTACATAAGCCAAGCTTTTTTTATCTGTTGTAACCTTCCTCAGATTTTCAGCTCCTTCTTTGATTTTCAGTTCTTTCCTTATTTCTCTCTTGATTCGATCCTTGATATCATCCAGTTTCTGTTGCACCATTGTGTCTGAAAAGTCTAATTTTTGAACAGCACTAACGTTCTCAGAAAATGGAAGATTTCGGGAATCCCCCTACAGGAAAAACAAAACAAAACATAAATACAGAAGTTTAGCTGCTCAGTAAACTATGTAGCATAAGGATAAAGCTACATTTTCAGCGTAAAATGGTCTTTCATTACTTTTAACTCTCTCCTTACTAAGCTTTTAAGCCTTTATTATAATCATACAAAATCACAAATTCTGCCTAATCACTAAATAGCATTACCCGACAAATACATTTACATTGAAATAAAGTGGTGCTATATGTGCAAGTATAAGTTTAATGATTTAGATGCTGTGGTAGGTAAGTTTGTGTATCAACTTGGCTGGGCTGTGGTTTTGAGTGGCTGGGCAGCTGGATGTTGTTACTTTCCCCACAATGAGATTGTAATCACCTCAACGTTGGAAGGGAGCTCTGGTGGCATAGTGCCTAAGGCACCTGACTGCTAACCAGAAGGTTGGCGGTTCAAACCCACCGGCCACTCCTCGGGAAGGAAGGTTGGGCAATCTACTTCCGTAGTGCTACTGCCTTGGAGTCCCAAGGAAGGGTCGCTATGAGTCGGATATGACTTGACAGCACATAACAACAACAACTACGGTGGAATGTGCTGTGAGCAGCTAAGTAATTGCCTTGGGGGTGTGGCCTGCTTCCAGTATACATGGAGTAGCTTTGAGAAAGGTCTCTCTAGCTTTTTGGTACATTTAGATCCCACATTTGGTTGAGTAGTCATCTCCAGTTCCTGGACTTGAATTTGTGGCCTGCCATGTTTCCTGCTAATCTTGGAACTGTGTCATTTTATCTGTCAATCTTGGGTTTGTCAGCCTCAGCGGCCAGCAGCTACATGGGTCAAAAAAAGCCTCCAGCCCTAGTGGGCCTGGAACAGGATCCAGAGTTGTAGCCCAAGATCGAGGGGCCTTCACCTAGCCCCTAGAGCCAGCACTTTCAATTTGACGGCTAACCAGAAGGCTGGCGGTTCAAACCTACCAGCCACTCCTCGGAAGGAAGGTTGGGCAATCTACTTCTGTAGTGATACTGCCTTGGAAACCCAAGAAGGGGGTCACTATGAGTCAGGTCCAACTCCACGGCATATAACAACAAACTGTAAGAGAATAAATCCCTGTTTGTTAAAGCCATCCACTTGTGGTGTGTCTGTTTTAGCAGAACTGGAGAACTAAGACAGATGCTGTAAGATTTGGGAGACTATTATGAAGCCTCCATTTATATATTTCATCAATAACAATCCCTGTTGATACTCTAGCTAACTAAATACAAAAACAAAACATCATTACTAGATAATCTCTTTAAATATCTAAATCAAATCAGGCAAGCTATTCTACATTTAAAACAACCAAAGTTATATTCTAGCTATTTGTACACACAATTAGTGAATGATATTATTCAATATTTTAAACTCTACTACTATAATACTACTGGATTAAATTTATAAATTCTGATACACAATAAACTAGAGATAATGGTTACCTCTCTGAAGGGAAACTGAGTCTCTGAAGGATATGGAAAAGAGCGACTTCGTTTACTTTACATTCTTTAAGAAAGCTGTGGTGGCGCTGTGGTCAACAGGGCAGCAGTTTGAACTCACCTGTCACTCCGTGGCAAAAACACAAGGCAGATTTCTTCCTTAAAGATTTATAGCCTTGGAAACCCCACAGAGGTTGCTATGAGTTGGAACTGACTCAATGGCAGCAGATTCGGTATGGTTCTGGTATACCCTTTATGTACCTTTTGAACCACAAGCATAACTTATGAAAAGATCTTAATGCCTTTGGGAATTCATCACACCCATATAAATCAGTTCCATTTAAATTTTTGGTATTGTCTTTTTTACATCTAATTTATTTCTGAGAAACATGTACATCTAAAATACACTTAAAAAAAAAAAGTGAGTTAATAGATGGCAAACACAGATCTATTCTTGGCTTTGGTGGTAATTTTATTCTGTTTCCTTGGGTGAATCATATAAAACTTGAAGTAATTGGTCTACAAATCTGTTCTTAACTTTTCTAGGGCCAAGGAACCTGTTGAAATTCTGATTTTTTTTTTTTTTAAGTAGTAGAACAAAGAAAATTTTGTAAATATATGTATATAATTTCCAAGTTCCATGGATTCTAAGTTAAGAATCTCTGTAATAAATTATTTATTTATACCTACTGGTCTTAAAATTCTAATTTTTATCTACATAGCTGTAGGATATTATCTGGGTGAGAATAATGTGTAAGTTTTCTAATATTTATAATGGAATGTAGGAGCTAAAACCTTAAAAAAAAAAAAAAAGCCATCAAGTTGATTCCAACTCATAGCAACCCCATTGGGTTTCTGAGGCTGTAAGTCTTCTATAGAAGCAGACTGTCCTATCTTCCTTCCGTGGAGTGGCTGGTGGGTTTGAACTGCTGATCTTCTGGTTAGCAACCAAATGCCTATCCACTATACCATGTAAGTCCTTGTGGTGGTTATGTTTTTGTGTCAACATGGCTGGGCAGCTGGATGTAGTATTCCCCATGATGAAACTGGTAATCAACTCCATGGTGGAATCTACTGTGAGTAGCTGAGTAGCTGCCTTTGGGTATGTGGTCTGCTTTCTGTATATAAGAGAAGCAGCTTTGAGAACGGTCTCTAGCCTATGGCACGCTTGGACCCTGCGTGTAGCCGTGTTGTTGCTCAGCAGCCTGCTATGCTCTGCCGACTTTGGGACTTACAATGGACTTAAGTTAATGGCCTGCCATGTGGTTTGGTAACATTGGGACTGTGCCATGTTTTGTCAACCTTGGGATTGGCAGCCTCAGCAGCCAGTAGCTGTCTGAGTGAAGAAAAGCCTCTAGCTCCGGTGGGCCGGGAGCAGGAGGCAGAGCTGGATCCCAAGGTTGAGGGGCTTTCACCCAGCCCCCAGAACCTGGCACTTTGAACTTGAACTTAAAGCCTCCAAATTGTAAGAATAAACTCCTGTTTGTTACAGCCATCCCATTTGTGGTATATTTCTTGTCAGAGAGGCACTAGGTAACCAGAACAGTCCTATAACCTATTTATTTAGTTTCTAAAGTTTATGAGTCCACCCTTGCTAAAAACACAGAAAACATCACATAGACTTCTTACAGAATATGAACTGCTTTCACAAAAGCCACAGTTTCCCAAAATCTATTGGTTCATAGCACTCTTGTTGTTTCTCTTGTTGTGGGCTGAGAAGTGGACTTTTGCCGTCCGGAGGGCGCCGCCATTTTGTAGGATTAAACAGCAGCTTGACTGTTTTTGGATATTTAAAGAGACAGCGCTCCCGCAGATTCCTGTGGTGGTAGG